ACACACACACACACACACACACACACACACACACACACACACACACATACACATACACATACACATCCACATACACATACACACACACACACACAGACACACATACATACACGTGCACTCAGACACAAACGCACGCATACAAACACATGCACAAGGCAAACCAAAGCAACAGGCTACATAATAAGACAAAACAACACAGAGTTTATTCTCATTTGATTAATGCCATATTTGCATTTTGCTTTTTTTTTCACCTGTATTCTTCAAAGTGTAAGTCGTTTTACAAAACATATCTTTAAAGGCCATTTTCTCTGAATTAGTTTTTTCTCAGACTCTGAGCCAGAAATCACATACCATTGATTTACACAACATTTTAATGACTAAAAACGCTATAGTAGGACTATATGTCGTGTATATGACTACGAGCCCATTGCCTGCATACATCACCACTTGTTTTTCAGTTTGAATGGAGTATGTTTTACATTATAGTGCTGTCTCTATTTTTTTCGTCTTTTACATGTTGTTTTCTGTCCAGCGCCTATAATTATCGTCTGGATGCATGTTTTCGTGATAAAACAGTGGCCCTTGCAGACACACCTGGTGGAGACCTTTCTAGTTTATAATATATATATATATATATATATATATATATATATATACAGTATATAAAATAAACGCAAAGAATTTTGATTTCAGAAATATTACATTATTTATGAAAACACCGGTATCCTTTCAGTTCTCAAAGCCTTCTTCACCTTCTTTCCTCCTGCTGATCAATACACCTGCTGCTGCAGTTCATACATTCACACATAATTGACAGATTACATTTATCACCAAAACAGCTGCAAACACACCACCCACACACACACACACACACACACACACACACACACACAGATGCACAAAACCGACGAAGCTCATTTGAGTTATCATAATATGCTTTATCTGAAAAGAAAGTATCTTATCTCCAGATAAAGGGAGGAAAGACAGAGCAATCCGTTCAGTGGCGGCGCAGGAAAGGAGCCTAGAGGGAACCGCAGCCTCACTGAGGGGAAATGGATGGCGTCTCTGCGGATTGGGAAAAACAGAAACCTGCAGAAGATAGAGAATGTATCGAGAGGAGAATAGAAGGCGGAGGGAGGAACGGCAGAGTGAGAAGCGTGGACAGAGGATCAGAGCAAGTAGACAGCTGGGTGGCACTAAATGAAAACCTACATCTGGACACTTTTGAACATAGTCATCATGGATACATTGAACATGGCATTCCTGGAGTCCTAATGTGTTATTTTGGACTACAGTGTTGCCGCTTAGAGAATATTGATCAGGAATGAATCTGACATACACACAAAAAGGGAACTCTGTATGTGGATGCATTGTTGTGCACATTTTAAGTATCTGTCGTGTTATTAGCCTTTGACAGACTTTTTATCACTATTTATATTTTACAATTTTGCTTTTAATCGATCCAAAAATAAATTGACTTTACTTTTTGGCTGTTAATAGAGAGCTTTAATCACAAATTGTTTCATTTAGGACACAAGTGCAAAAGAAAAAACTGCTATAGTTGAATATTGTTGAATTATTAAAGTATAATGGGGCATTGCAAATACTAGCCAAAATGTTGTTGAGCTGGGATTTATTTTTAAAATGTGACTTATTTTTTTTATTATATATGTTACCCTGTTACCCTGGTTTTATTTTAAGACTGAAAAGAGTTGGTGTTCGACGACACCGTAAAACTGACTAAGGCCTGAAAACTCAGGGAGATGGAAATAAGAGAGATGTCATGGAGGAGGAGGAAGAGAGGGGG